TTTCCTGTTTATGGAAAAAGAGTGCTAGATTAAGAGTCAGGAGAAGCAGTTCCAGTGTTAACTTTGCTTTTACCTAAATGTGGAAACTTGAACAATTTATTTGGCCAAGCTACGTCTTCATCAGTAGGATGATGTGCTGACTCTGATTATCTCTAGGGTCTTTCTCAGTTTTAAAATTCTATGTCACTCTTTAAATGTGAATCTTGAAAAATTTTGACACTGAAACAAATTATAATACTAAAACAAAATGTATTTCAATAATTTAATCCATAAAAGACAAAAGTTTAAAAGATACAGATTTAATAAAAGTCCAGATTTCATTGCAACTTATTTTTTAAAATACAATTTTTTTTCTGGAAAAAATATTATAAAACTATTAAAGTATAAATGAATTATCATGCTAAAACCTGATATATACAAGTGTGCCTTAAGTATAAACAACAACAAATTAAACAATATAATCAGGAATACTTTCCCTATATAATGGCAATAAAAATTTTTTTTAATACCTTAGACGTAAAAATAAAATAAAATAAAATTACAAGAGTTATATGAAGCAAATGAAAACTTGAATAAATTGAAAGACATAAACTACATTTGGCCATCAAGATATCACGTTAATCAATACAAATAGAAATTCCATATTCTAAAGATAATATGGAAAAATAGATATGAAAAAACTGGTAATACTCAGAAAATAGTAATATAGAATACCCTTTACCTATTATTAAAACCTAGTGCAAGGCTATAATAATGAAAATAACATGATATTAGAATGTGAGAGAAGACAGGGATATTTGTCCATTACAGAGGTGTGTGATTTCTGTTATTTCTGAACTACCTCTCTATTTCTTCAAGCATGCATTATTACAAAAATCAGGTATATATCATAATGTATAAGACCATTTAACCTTGGCTTAAGAGAAACAGAACAACTGGTTCTTTATCCTGCAGTTCTTCTCATGTGAAACTGTATTCCTTTCTGGTTATTAAATAACTAAGTTGTTCACAGTCCTCTTGTGAACATTTGGAATGAGGACATGAAGATGATGGGACAATATAAATATAATTCATTCAGCTTTTTTCTTTATGAATTGTTGCTACCTATAATAGTTTCAGCTTCTGAGTTCTCAAAATACAATCAAAAATAAGTTACAGGTTTTTTTCTAAACAAACTCATAGGTGATAGGGAAGACTCAATGTAACATAAGTAACCATTAATCTATATACTGAGTATTGTACTCACTTCATGAAATTAAAAGAAGTAACAGTTCTTCCTGCCTGAAAGTTGGCATAAGAAAGAAGTGCTTCAAAAGCAAAGACATGTGGGTCTCAAAAACCTTTGAAGAATGAATAGAATTTTTCCAGGAAGAAAAGGAAAAGATAAATCATTTAAAACAGGGGAAAATACTATTGAACACATGCAAACATGGAAGAACAGAAAGTATGCAAGGAACTCTTCGTGATTCATTGGGGCAAGAGTACAGGACATGTAATGGAGGGCAGCAGAAATGTCTAGAGAGAGAGACTGGGAACAAATTATGAGGAATCTTGAACGTCATGCTGAAGGATTTGGTCACTAATTTCCACGTAGAAACAAACCATCACAAATTTTTAAACAAGAGGAGTATATAAAATATAGATACAAGACTCATTTAGAAGAATTTTGGGAGGAACTTGGCTTAATATCTGATTTTATCCTGGTGGGCACCAGAACCTGTAAAAGGCAGAGTTTCACTTTCTACTACTTACATACCTAAAAGTGCTTTATAAAAGACAAAAAGATGTGTTGACAGTGATTGAAAGTATCTTTTAAACTGCTTCTCAAACCTGGATGATTACTGAAATGATCAGAGGAGCTTTAAAAAATGCTGATGGCCAGGTCTCACCCCTAGAGATTCAGATTTACTTGGTCTGGAAACATTGGGATGTTTCAAAGCCTACCAGGTATTTCAAATATGCATTCAAGTTTGAGAACGACTGCAGTAAAACAAGAACTTTTCGTTTCTGCAGTTCTGTAAATTTTTTTGCAAATTTTAATGTATCTGAAATCCAGATGCCTCTTATAGCCCTTATATATGCTTCATTTGAGAATCATTTTCTTCATCACTTCAAAATGCTCTTATTAAATGTATGATACCTCTTATAACGAATAGCATGTTAGAAAGGAGATGTGCTATATAAAATATAGTATCTTACAAATGATGAAATATAAAGAATATATAGTAGCTAGTGATGACTCTTAACCTGAATGATTGGTTTGTTGTTTGCTTCTTTCTTGTTATTCTGGTCTGCATCTCTTCTCACACTGAGCTAGTCTCCATGCTGTTTTATCTTGGGATGTCTGCCTCTTCTTTTAAGCCACTTATTCCTATGTGCTAGCTCAATATGCAGTCTCTATAAATTCCTTGAGTTTTTAATCAGTTGGTTTCTTCATGCAGTTTTTTTATTTCAATATGCTCCAAAAATTATTCTACTCCAACCTGAAGACACTGTCTCTTTGTTTCCCTGGCTATTGTCATTTCTTTTGTAGTTTCACTCTGGTGGCAGTGATAGGTTTAAAATCCTTTTGGCAAAAGAGTTGTTTTCCAATTTGGAGTTATTACTGAAAACAGACCTATTTATTTTATTTTATTTTATTTTTTAGTCAGTGTCTTCCTCTGTCATCTAGGCTGAAGTGCAGTGACTATCATAGTTCACTGTAGCTTCAAACTCCTGGGCTCAATCGATCCTCCTGCCTCTGCCTCCCGAGTAGCTGGGACTATAGGTGTGCATTATCATGCCCATGTAATTTTTTTTTTTTTTTTGTAAAGACGAGGTCTTGGTATGTTGCCCGGGCTGGTCTTAAACTCTTGGGCTCCAGTTATCCTCCTGCCTTGGCCTCCTGCTCCTGGCAGAGCTTCCATTTATATAGTGCTCTTCTCTCTCTGTCTCCCTTTCCTTATCCCTCTCCTTCCCTTTTTTCTTCTCTCAGTCCTCACTGCCCACGATATTTACCTGCCAAATTCTCAGAATCAACTCTGAGGCTTACTGTGGAAGATGAAATAAAGGAGAAACTGAAGTTGGATTTTAAAGTGAGAAATGATGAGAACTATAAGAATCATAAAAATCCTAGGAATGGATAATGAAAGTGAAAAACAGGAACACAGATCTGAGAGACATTTATGAGCTGTTTTTGGGATTGGTGACTAAATGAATACGTAATTATTTTTGTGTATTCGTGTTCCCCCCCCCACCCCGCGCGCACCCAACTATAATCAAAACTTCATAGACTTGGGATTCTGACTTTCTTGTTTACTATAATATCCCTACTACCTAGCTCAGTATCTTGCACATTGTACATATTTATTAATTATTTTCCAAAATTTCATGTAATGTATGGGAAGGTTCGAGAAGGAGAATAAAGAATCAGATTATAATATTTGACCTGATTCTAAATTCTCGTCCATATATTCAGTGACAAACATTAATCAATAATGTTTGCCAGGAAGGTTGTTCTTAAGCATTTATTTGAAAAAAATAAGTCTAGGTATTTTGGTTAATGACAACCTCTACATCATTTAATAATGTGACATACCTGCACAAATGACTACATTACATTTTACTTCTATAAATTCCTGTTTAGTTCAAAGAAGATAGGGTTCTATTGTACTGGATTATTTATTAACTTATATGAACCATAGTCTGATAATGGGACTATCAAGCTAGAGGATATTCATTTTTTTTTAGATTGGAAAATATATTTTATTTAGAAAGTAAATTGGAGGGAGAGAGAGGAGATTCACCTCCCCAAGGTAGGGGAGGGGGCCAAAGCGCAAGTTAGAGTATATTCTAAAGATGGCAACCAAAATAGAGGTCATGTAGTTTGAGGAGTGACTCAAATGTTTCAAAGAAAGAGACAAAGACAAAGTTGTAGAACAGAGGGGCTGTAGCAGGATTCAAGAGTCTAGTCTCAACCCAGTTTTGACTAATCCTCTGGTCATAGGTCAGTTCTTCTGACACCAGTTATCTCTTTACAAAGAAAGGGGAAAGTTTTCGTTGTTCTCAAAGATTTCTTTCAGACCTATTACTATATTCCATAATTTTACAATTTCAGTATTATGAGTGAACTTGAGAATTTACCCTCAAATAACGAAGAGCTATTTATGTATAAAATGATCCAAAGTTAGCTTTGTTTCAGAAGGCAGAATTAGTCCTAACAGGTGGGGTCGACAGAAGATTTCAGTTCATTCTATGGGGTGAATTTTTAACTGTTACATTAGTGCAACAAAAAAAGCGCTTATCATACAAAGTGGTGCTGTTTTCATCACTGTCAAAGATATAGCATAGGGAAAGTATTCACCAGGTGAGAGGTTGAACTTACTACCTTCCAACTTTAGGATTTTCTGTTTTCTTCTAAGTTAGTCCCAAGGTATGTCCTCAAGCTAAGTGTTTTAGCAAGCGAATATGCCAGTGTTTTGAATGAGTAAATAAATAAATAAATAAATGATTTTTTAGATCATGAAATAAGGAGGGTGGGAGAAGCGTGGAGCATCAGAACTTCTTCTCTTTGATTCGCTCTATCACGTTCAGCAGGTTCAAGGTCAGCTGCCTCCATTAATGATTCCCGTATTCCCTCCTGATCAACGGACACTGGCTGCAGCTGCCCAGCAAGGATTCCTTCTTCCTCCAGGCTTCAGCTATAAGGCTGGATGTAGTAAGTACCATTGATTTTTTATTTGGGAACGGGTGGAGGGAACGCCTTTAAATTAGGTAATTTAATATTACTGCCACTCCAAGAGGTGAGATCACCATATACCATTTTTTATTTTAAAGAGGAAGCACACACAAAAAGTGTAGAAAAGTGTTTGTGTTGGTATTTAAACGACCTTAAATTATGTCTGTGTTTCTCATGCCAATATTTGCTCTTTATTATTTAGTTTTATAGCTTCTATTTCCAGTATAGTCTTAAAATATGAATGTAATTTAGGGATTCATTTTACTTTTTGCATAGATGACATAGGAATATACTTTTCTATAGTTTTTCATTGCCCAGTAAGATAAACCTAAATTTCCTGATGTGAATTAGAGGGCCTTCTGTTACTTCTCTGCTCCCTATATTTACAGCCTAATTTCTCACTAGTCTTTTTAGTTCTTGGCCTCAACCATTTTCTTTCTTGACTCTGGACTCACATCATCCACATTCACTCTCCTTCATGTTCTGAATCTCTTTCAACTCAGATTAGGGAGCACTTGCCTGACCTAAGTGAGGTTCCCTTCTGTTTCCATTGGATCTTATACTCTAATTGTGCTGTGAGCTCTGTGAGAGCAGTTGTTGATTCTGTCTTATTCACTGTTAAATCTCAACTTATAGTACAACATTTAACACTTTTGAATGACTGAATGAATGAACACACTACAATCAATACAGAGGGCATTTTTTGTCTTGAGTGAAAAGTTATACCAAGATAACTTTATGCTACTTATTAATTTTAGGTGTCTGTGATTTTATACTTTTTTCTTTTTTTACACAAATCTAAATTGCACATTGTTAATTTTGGAAACAAATGAATATTTCATTTATAAGAATTTAAGTAGTCAAAATGCCAACTCTATTCTGTAAGATAAAAATAATAACTAATATTCCTAAAAGGGTCTAAATTGCTAAGCTAAACATCTTCTGGAATGTCATTATCATGGCCAGAAAGAATATAGAGAAAGCAAATTTACTGAAATATTTTCAATGATAAAAATAGAACTGGAAAAAATAGTGAAATATTATAGATATTTATAGAGAATATTATTTTTAAATTCCAGTGGATTTCAGCTTATATATATGTTAATAAATTGTCCCATTAACATTGCACATTACTTTAGTATTTATTGCATTTGAGAAACTGTCTAACATTACTAGAAATGAGTTCTACATTTCCTGTTAGGTGATATTTCGAGTTTTCACATCGGGAATTTTAGCAATTATTCCTAGTCTTTAAACCTGTCTGTATATCATGTTGAAGAGAAATGGGTTGTAGTTTCTTAAACATACAAAGCCATTTGAGATGAGTATAGCAATGATGTGGACTGCAGCTCTGAAGTTAAGATAATAGTGATCTGAACTCAAAATTTAAAGATTCACACTTGGTATGGTGCTTTGCTCTTTGAAGTTTTTATACTGCTTTTGCAAATCTTTCTCTTGAGTTTGGTTTTCTGTGTTTTAAAATGGTGTTCTAACTCTGGACTCTTAATTTGGCGATTTAATATTATTTTCTCCATAATTCTACCTTTGTAGATCATTGATTCATCCAGACATACCAACTTTCTCTTTATAATTAAGGACTATATTTATTCTAAATATTTTGACCTCTGAGAATAATTTAAATTCTAAGAATAGAACTTTAAATCCTGTTGCTACTCTGATTTTTTTTTAATCATAAAAGGTTTTTTGTTTTGTTTCCACTTTCCTAAGGAATTACTTTTCACATTAAACACATGCCACCAATGTGTTTTTAGTAACCTTGGTTACTAAAATGGAAAAAAAAAAAGACACTTTAAAAATCATTAGTTGCCTCAGACTGCACCTGCAATATATACATATAGACTAGTTCTGTTTTTAAAAAAAAAAAAAAGTTTTTTTAAGTGCCATTAACAAATATTGCACTGAAGAGAAAACTACATTGAATATGAACAATAGCATAATTGTAGACCTGGAAAAGGTCAAGAACACCTCTACCTCACTCCCATTTGACAGAGTTGGCATACTAAATGTGTTCAGTGTGAATGCAATGTGGCGTGGAGCGATTTTTCCCTTTTAAAATTGTTGATATATTAACCACTTGATAGTCCTACCTTCAGTGCTTAAAGTTATAAATGATATTACTTCTTTTGTAACCTTGGAAATAAAATAGAATAAAGCTTCTACAACTGCTGGCAAGCTTGAAACTGGCATCATGCCAAACTCTAGAACTAAGCAGAAGTCAGTAACAAAAGAAAGCACCACCCTCGTTGACACTCTAGTACTTTGAGTCAGTTTGAAGGAGGAGCTGGGGGGAAGTGATAAATAGTCCAGACCAAGTCCTCCCTAGTCACATTTCAGGAAAGGAATAGAGATAGGGAAAGAAATCATGCCATCTCCTCTCTTCTGTGGGACTTTCTATCTTATTCACTTCTTAACTGTCAACAATTTGTGACTTTTCTGTTTGCCAATCAGTTTAAATCAGTGCTTCCCAACCTTTTTGGCATCAGGGACTGGTTTCGTGGAAGACAATTTTTCCATGGACCAGGGAAGGATGGTTTTGGGATGATTCAAGCACATAACATTTATTGTGCACTTTATTATTATGACATTGTAAGATATAACAAAACAGTTATACAGCTCATCATTTAAAAAAGAGGCGTGGGTGGAAGTGGTAATAAAATAATGGGCAGGCCACACACAGACTAAAATAAGTGTCAGATTCTGAGTTAAAGTCTGCCACCAGATGCAGCTGTACAATTGAAGTACATAACTGACTTGCCACTCACTGACAGGGTTTTTATATGAATCTGCAAGCAATTGATTTATTATGGTCTCTGTGTAGTCAAACCTCACTGCTAATGTTAATCTGTATTTGCAGCTGCTCCCCAGCATCACCACCTCAGCTCCTCCTCAGATCATCAGGCATTAAATTCTCATAAGGCACAACCAACCTAGATCCCTCACATGTGCAGTTCACAATAGGGTTCATGCTCCTATGAGAATCTAATGCTGCAGCTTATCTGACAGTAAGTGGAGCTCAGGCCGTAATGTAAGAGATGGGGAGTGGTGTTATAAATGGGCCATGGTCTGGGGATTGGATACCCTGATTTAAGTGATATTACATAGTTTTCAATGAGTTCTTAATGAGACTGACCAATCCATCTTGATTTCAGTTTCAAGCAAATATGAAAGATACACTATTTGTTGCTTTTAGAAATTCAGATGCTTTTCACCAATTCATTCACAGAACACGCTGATAATAAGTTTTCCTGTTTAGACTATATATCTTGATAATATAAATGTAGATATTGATGGACCCAAATCAGAAACTTTAACATTCTCAATGGGGAAAAAATAAAATAAAAACACAAGTTGAGGAAACTAACTACTGTAGATTGAGTTAACATCTTCTGTTTTCTGAAAAAGAAGCTTTTAGTTGGATGTAAAGGTATTTTCTCTTTAAGAAATTTAATAGTAGAATCAAGGTATGGAATGTAGACAGACAAAATATAGTTGCTGAGCCTCTCTTAAGTGCTAGAGTGCACATTATCAAGCAGTATAGTAAGAAATGAATAGCAGCACAGCCAGACACTTCAGAGCAAACAGATAGATAGAAAAAACTTTAAAGAATATTGTCGTCCACTCTTAATCATGAATATGTAGATCTGTTCACAAATATTGATGTATTGTTACCAGAATCTCAGATTCTGTTTTGGCATTTGGTATTTATAAAATCAAGCATGAAACCACATGTCTTCATGGATCCATATCTAGTTATTGCTTCTCCTTCTTTCTTTCTTTCTTTTCTTTTTTTTTTTTTTTTGAGTTGGAGTCTCACTCTGTTGCCTAGGCTGGAGTGTAAGTAGCACACGCATGACCACTCCAGTGTTGACTTGCTAGGCTCCAGCGATCCTTCCGCCTCAGCCTTCCAAGTAGCCAGAACTACAGGCGTGCACTACCTGCCTGGATAATTTTTTATTTATTGTAGAGACAAGGTCTCGCCCAAGTTGCCCGGTCCTGGTGTCGAACCTGTGAGCTCAGACAATCCACTCGCTTCAGCTTCCCAAAGTGCTAGGATTACAGACTGAGGCACCGAGCGTGGCCACTTATTTCTTAAAACCTGAAAATACTTGCAGATTTCTCAGGAGGTGAAAATAATAAATAAAATGGAATCATTTCAATATAAATATAATAAATAGAGAACTTGAAAATAATTATGTAAAAACACTTGTTTAATCAGTCAACTTCATTCAGAGACCAGTACACTAAGGAAAAAAAAAATGTGGAAAAGCTGAGTAGTGTCCTTTGAATCAGAGACTTCAACATGTGAGCTGTGAAGCTTAAGGCAGGTACACATTTTTGAAATAAAATTTAAATGCCTTTGACATCTGCAGAACAGTTTTATGTTTTCTTGAAGACATTAATTTTATGTTTGCTCATCTTAGAAAAAATTCTATTTTTGAATTCACTTGTTGGTGTTAGCCTAACATTTTAGACTTGAGAGAGACTTTTGAGATAAGGCGGTTGAAAGCCATAAGTTCGGTCAGTGACACTTGGTCTGACTCCACTGCAGTCCTCTTTCTGAAACACGCAGCTTCCTCCCATGCCACAGTCAGGTTCACTTCTGTTTCTTCAGAGTACATATTTTAGAGGCAGAAATAAGAGGTGTAAAGGCTTCTCTTTTACTAATGACTAAAGTCCTCTGCCTCTCTCCTTTCTGTTTGGGTGTAAGATCTCTAGTTATATAATTTAATAGTTAGATGCTTTAGAAATTTTGATGGGAGAACATTTTATGTAGAAATTTAAAAATCTGCAGAAATGGTAAAATTTAGTAAAATAACCCATTTTCTGTACATAGTATAAAACAGACAGTTGTAAAGAACTGGATTGATAAGTTATCCCATAGTGTCAAATTGAATGTGTCATACAAATACTCTGTATCTGAGTCCTTTCCTATATTCAGGTATGTGCATCTGTGAGCC